TTAAAATAAATAAAGTGAAATAAAAACCATGTGATATCACGGGATAAACTTTCTCTTGAAATTATGAACTACTCATGTGGAAACTTTTCATGAAATTACTTTTGCACAATTTTTTCATGAATATATAAATCAAGTAATGATTTTTTTTTTTAATAATGCAATGGAAGCTACAACTTCCACAACCAAAAAGATGTGAAAATTGACCTTTTGGTTGACATTAAGAACATGACATGTTATTTTCCTACGACAAATGTTATGAGATATTGTTTAGTAGAGTGAAAATGATTTTAAAATATGAAAAAATGTTTTTAAAAAAATTAAAATTGGTGATTTATTATTATTATTTTTTTTCAATTTGGTAATAGAAAATGCCTCATGCTTTATTTTTTATTTTATTTTAATGGCAAGTGCACTTTGTTAGAGCAAGACCCTTTATGAGAGCATATTAGAGATTCATTTGTGCGTGATATGTAAGGCTTGGTCCTCATTTGGCACAATGTTTTTTTTAGTAGTTTTTTTTTTTTATAATATTTTTTAAACTTTTTTATGAGGTGAAAATATTAATGTATTTGGGAATGATTTTTTTTTTTTATAGAGAAAATTGGTGATAAATCCAATCTGAGAAGGGTGTAAGGTATTAGGTCCACTGAATATTTTTTGTTGGTGAAAAATTCATACTTTGTGAATTAGTTTGGTAAGAAATCCTATAAGACCTTTTGTTTCCAATTTTACTCCTTGACTTTTTTATTTGTTTGATTTTTCGTTGACTATCTACTCAATTTTTTTGACTATTTGTTCAATTTTTCTCATAAATTCTATTTATCTGTTTAATTTTTCCCTTTAATTCTATTTATCTGCTCTTAGGTCCACTGAATATTTTTTGTTGGTGAAAAATTTATACTTTGTGAATTAGTTTGGTAAGAAATCCTATAAGACTTTTTGTTTCCAATTTTACTCCTTGACTTTTTTATTTGTTTGATTTTTCGTTGACTATCTACTCAATTTTTTTGACTATTTGTTCAATTTTTCTCATAAATTCTATTTATCTGTTTAATTTTTCCCTTTAATTCTATTTATTTGCTCAATTTTTCCCTTAAATTATATCTTTCTATTCAAATTTTTTGACTATCTATTCAATTTTCCCCCTAAATTTTATGATGTTCAATTTTTTTTTTCTATAGATTGAAAATCTGTGTCAACTTTTTTGTTTATCTATTGCAATCATCATCATCAATATCAATTTTTTTCCAGATCTGTCTCATACATACACACACTTACAGATACACAAATAAAATTCAAATTCAACAACAACAAACAACAAGAACTACAAAATAATAATAATTTGAACAGATCTAGGTCTGAAAAATCTATTCAACAACTCAACCTACCTGTTATAGCAAGAACTTACAAAAAACAAAAATCTAAGATCTAGACCTGAGAAATTTGTACAAGTTTCCTATTCTCTTTCTTAAAATCTCTTTCCTTTTGTTGCCTTGTATTGACCTAGATCAACAAAAATCATATATAAACAGATGTGTCTAAATTTTTTTGTTTAATCTATTGCAATCTGTTTCATCATCATCATCAAAACAATGGAAAATCTACACAATGGACTGTCAAAGCATTGGATTCTTGTACCTCTAGATCCTCAACGATGAAAATACATACGTAGATATACATACATATAGATTTATAGTTAAATATATAGGAAAATATAAATCTACATCACATGAGGTCTCATATGTCATATTTTCAACAATATATATACAACCAAACAATGATCTGGGGTATGATAAAAAAAAAAAATGATCTAAGGTCCAACAATCTAGATACAACAATCCAAACAATCCGTTGGCCAAATCTTCAAAGATGTGAGAATAGAGATAAATCTGTAGAGATTAGGGTGAGCAGCGACTATACCGATTTGCCCAAATCGAACCGATCCGCCGCATTTTGGACAGATGAGTGATGATGAACGGACGGTTACGGATTGATTTTTTCCAATCCACTTAGTTTTGGACGAATGGCTGATTTGAGGTTCATTGGCCGCAACCGAACCGCCAAACTGCGAGCACCCCTAATAATTTGTAAGACTTTGTGTTTTCAATTTGTTTAGATATTCTGTCTGTATTTTCAATTGAAAAAAGTTTAAATATTCTATTGAAAAAGAGTTTTCAACTTGAATATATTTTTTGAATTGAAAAAAAAAATGTATTATTTATCTATACTTTTTGGTTTTTAAATCTAACTCTAAAAATAATAAATAAATAAAATGATATACGCTGGTGGATTTTTATTTTCAAAAACAGATATAGATGTAACAATACAGAGGCATATAATCTCTACTACTGCTCTGTTCATGGTTTTGGTGGGTTGAATTATTTTTTTATTTTAAGAACCACATATTGTAATACATTATGTGGATGAGGCATGTAGTGATTGTAATATTCTAAAGTTTCAAACTTTCTTTCTTTGGATGAGACATGCAGTGATTGTAATACTTTTTATTTTTTATTTATTTTAGGAAGTGCACAAGTTGAATTATGTTGAAAATATATAAAATTTTAAACCGCCAAACTGATTCGCATCCATCTGCCAATCTGCTCAATCTACATCTACCGAATTGACGGACGGATGCAGATTAATTTTCTCCAATCCGCCAATCTGATGGACGGATGGCAGATTGGAGGTTTCGTGGCCGCAACTGACCCGTGCCCACCCCTAGTAGAGATGTGAGCAAAGAGACGTGAGATCTGAAAAGAGATGTTAGAAGAGAGAGAGAGAGAGAGAGAGAGAGAGAGAGAGATACATCCTTGGAGATGTGAACCGACTTAGAGCAAGATATGATACCTTTCATTGCTCTGGTTTTGCGTGTTCAGCAACCTCATCTCTGCTCATCAGCATCGCTACGACGATGGTGACGGCGATGGCCGATGTCCACCGTAGCAGCCATGGCTCCCACAGTATAGTTGACTCCATTGATTTCTATACAACTAGATTTGAGTGAGGTTGACTCGCTCGAGTTATAGATTTGAGTTGTCGAGGTATAAATTGGAGATTAGAGAAAAGATAGGAGAGTCAACATTGAAGAAGAGAGAAAACGAGACGAGAGAGATAAGGAAGTGCTGTGATGGTGCTGCGACAGATAATGGTGGAAGAGGTGCTGCGACGCCGCGACAGAGGACGACGAAGTTTGAGAGGGATTTGAGAGAGAGATATGAAAGAGAGAGAGAGAGAAAGAGAGAGTGTTGTGTGAGTTTGTAGTTATTGGAAAATGGGGTTGGAAATAAATGGGTGGTGGTAGAATATACATACATGGATAGTGTGGTAATTTTACATCACTTTGTCCTTATAGACAAAGTGTTTGAGCTCTTGGAGCTCTTGGACCTATGGACAATAAAAATTTAAAATTGGATTTATCACCCAAACAACTTTTTTTTTTTTTTGGTGTGACTTTTTTAGTTGTATAGAAAATGTAAAATAGTAACGTAATAGTTTGACTTTTTACTTGAAATTCTCATTTTACTCTTGTTTTAGTTGTATGAAAAACTTAATATAAGGGTACTTTAGCCTTTTTACATTGGTATAAGGCAACTTTTTTATATACATGCCAAACATATTGATTTATTTATTTAATTTTTTACTTTTTAACTAAAAACACCTGCAAATATTAAAGTTTGAGAATTGTGATTTTCTACAACAACTTACAATTTTATTATCAGTCCATCTCCTATTTAACTCTTTTTCAACACTTTGATTTTCTTAATGATAGTTACACACTTATTATTCAATTAATTTCATGGTTTTTTCCTCACTTCTAGCAGCTATAGCTTACCTAAATTTATAGTTATTTTTCATTTTTGTTTCTGAAATTTATGTTGTCGATCCATGTTTCGAATCCGTCACTTTCTAGTATAGTAGTAAAGTACACAAATTTTGTCCTGGACTAATCCCAGTGGTTAAATACATGTCCATATCAAAGAGTTAGAAGATAACATTCACTTGGAAATTTTTTCTTCATGATCATTTTAGTCTTTATCTAATCCACTTCATATGGCTAGCTAATGGGGGATTTTTTTTTAAATGACGAAAAAAGCCTTCTAGATCTTTGATTGCAGGATAAAGGATAAACTTTAGATATCTACAATCACCTACAAATTATAGATATCGAGTAAGTCAATGTATTGCAAGTCTTTGAATTTATGATTGACAACGTTAAACCGGTAGGTCAGGAATATTTTTCCCAGAAAGAAAATTGATTATTTCTCATTAGTATTAGAACTGTACAAAGGAAAAAAAAACTCACCTACCATTGAATTCTGAGTAGAAGGTCCAGCTCACTTAGGTTTGTGACCACTTAAATGAGTTCATGTACCAAAACATGAATTTCATTTTTCATGCACATGTTATGGAAAGTAAGACCTTGTTTGGTATAGGCTTGTTTTAGCTTGAAAGCTAAAAAATTATAAAAAAAAAAAAATTAAAAAGTCTATAATCTATATTAAAAAGTCAAAATTTTCATTTTCTCTCTATTTTTTATAAATTTTTTCGAAAAAATCTAAAAAATATTCTAAACATACTAATTTTTTTTTTATTTCATATTTTAGCCAAAAAATTAAAATATCACTAAAATAACTTGTTCCCAAATGAGACCTTAAAAGTTAATTTTTTGACTTTTTTTTTAAAAAAAAATTTGTAAAAAAAATAGAGGAGATTTGACGTAAAAAAAAAACTTAAAAAGCGACTTTTAACCGAATTGCCAAAAACAAGTATGGATTTGAGTCCCCACAAAGGGTAACTTTAAACAAAATAAAAAAACTGAAATTTCTTAAGTGATGTAAGCGCTAAAATCCATAGGACTGACTGTAAAATTAAAAACAAAAAAAAAAAAAAAAAAAAAACAAAAACTGTAAAATTAAAAACAAAAAAAAAAAAAAAACAAAAAACAAAAACACAAAACATGATCAGCTAGCCACCAGCTGAATCTCATATGTCATGAATGTTGAAAACCAACAATAATTTCACAAATATTTTTACAATTTTTTACCACCATATATAAGAAGTACCATTAACAACAAGAGGTAAAAGAGAAAAATAAAAACAAAAACAAAAACAATAATTCATAACATAATTTGATGTAATACATAAAACCCTATTCACTATCTTCAATGTCCCTTTTGGCTAATCGTAATCATGGCAGGAAAGAGCGGCAGAAGATCCGGACTCTAATACTATACAGACCCCCACACAATCATTTTCAGGCAATAATAGTAACTGAATTCCTCTTTTTTTCTCTAATATTGCTTATTTTTTTTTATTTTTTGGTTTCATGGATCTCAATAATTCCAAAGATAATCAAGATCGGCCGGTCCAACCGAAGTCGAGGGTGCCCCTTGATCTTCAAATGACCTTCTTCCCATTTGAATATTCGATACAACCGACGAGATTTCGGTGTTCATATCATTACTCAGACCTGTTTCTTGGGATACACTTACCATCTCCTTCTCTCTTTTCAGACTCTGTTTCATGTTTGGACCATAATTTTCGATCAAACCCCTTAGAATTGCATGGTCTTGCATTGAAATTGAACCCGGGAATTGCAGATTTCCTTGAATTGGACCCGAATAGACTGAATTTGGAAGTGAAAGTCTAGGGAAAAAATCCGAGGGATTAGATGAGGCAGCAAACAGAGGATTGTTAATGTAGTCAATCATCATCATCTCTTGCTGGCTTTTTTGAATGTCAATTGGATTGGAGAAGCAGGACACGTGAACGGATTCGGACGTGGCGGGTTTAGTTCTGTCGCCATAAGGAGAAGAGTCCATCAATGGCGGCAGAACAGGACCCAATTCGTTTCCGATTGAATTCAATCTCACTAACCCGGAAATATGGATCTTCTTTCCACCAGAAGTCTTTTGAAACACCCTACAAATCACCCACTCATTCTGCAACAATTTTCAAGAAAAATCATTATACAGAGAAGGCTGAAAACAGGGGAAGAAAACAGAGAAAAACAGAGGAAAACAGGGGAGGAAATCAGAGGAAACCAGGGGAGAAGCATTACCCTGGCTGTTTTGGGGAGGTTTTGGAGAGAGAATTTTCCCTCCAATCTGTATTCATGCATGACCCAATTGGTTTTCTCTCCCTTTGGAGCTCTACCCTTGTAGAAAACAAGGGTTTTCTTCATTCCAACCAGTGATTTTCCCCGGAAAATTTCCTTATCTTTCCCGGTAGCTTTCCAATATCCAGCAGCAGTAGCCCTGTTTGTCCTCAAACCAGTTGGGTATTTCTTGTCTCTCAAACAGAAAAAATACCACTCTTTCTCCCCCATTTTCGCTTTCCCTTCATCCAAACACAAGAAGAAAAAGTAAGAATCGCATATTCAACAAATTACGAAGAGAAAACACACAGAAAATGAAAAATAAAGTATGGTTTTAGAAAATTTACATGGCAAATCCCAAGGCTCAACCTTGTTCAAGTCCACCTCACCCATAGCTGTAGCAGAGAAATTGCTATCAAGGACTTTCTTGGATAAGTAGTGTGTGATCAACTCTTCGTCAGTTGGGTGGAATCGAAATCCCGGTGGCAATTCCATCTGATCATCCTCTTTTCCAAGCCCAGAAAAGTCTTCCATCACTCAAAACCCTACTTCTGATTCTTGAAAACTATGAATTTTCTATAACCAGGCCAAAGAAAAAAAATAAAAAATAAAAAACTTGAAATAGGTACAGACCAGACAGAGTATAAAATTGAAAACCTTTGATACCCTGCAGAGAAAACCAAATCTAGCTAAGATTCAAGTACAAAGTAGATTGATATGGGTAGGGCAAGAAACCAGGATTTAATAGAAAAACAGCTATGGGAAACTGATTAAAAAATGGTGAGGGGAAGAGAGAAAGAGGAGAGGAGGAGAAGCCATGGAAGTGGAAAGTAGTCACCTGAGAGATGGAGAGAGGGAGAGAGGTTTATTAAGAAAGAAAGCATTAGGAGGAGCGGAGAAGCACCCCTAAATACTGGTGTGTTTGGATAGAAAGAAACGTGGTTTGTAAGGAAGCTGGGAAGGTTGTTTTTGGTCCACTTTTTAGCTTTGTTGTAATAAATCTATGCTTCCAAAATAAAATTTGACCAAATGCATCTCATCTCTTTACCATGCATGTAAATTTGGTAAGTTACAAATTATATTATTTATTATTCATAATTTATAACCAAAGAGGGTGGACCTCGGCGCAATAGGAAAATCGGTTCATTGCCATCTAGATGTTGTGCCAAAGAGGGTGGATCTTGGCGCAATAGTAAGGTCGCTTCATTGCCATCTAGATGTTGTGGAGTTAAATAATAAAAATAGTCTCTTTACATGTAGGGATAAGATAAATTTTACGTGCAAGACAATTGCTATTAGGAATCGATATATAATCAAAATCAGTGACATATGAAATACAAATAAGAATTGAGCAAGTATCTAAATCAAGAATACAAAGATTTACCTGATTCACCTTGTAACAAAATTACATCTATTGACACTATGGTTTCATTACGATCTCATAAGAGTTACAACACAATAGAGAAAAATGTAACATTTTTAACTATAAATACATAGTATTAGGGCAAGTGGGCTTATTGGGTTTTTTTGGCTCAATGAGCCATAAAAGACAGAATAGGTTCATGAACCACAACAGACAAAACATCCCATCCAACCCCATAATCATTACAGTCTTCTCTCACAAAAAAATCAAAAAAGCCAAAAAGCCAAAAGCCCTTCCCAAACTAAGCTTTTGAACCCAGGCTCATATAGTTAAAAAAGCCAAAAAGCCAAAAAGCCAACCCATTTCCGAAACGGAGGCGAAATATCAAAAGCATTTTTCCAAAAGTGATTAAATAATTAGTTTTCAGTACTTATCAGGATTCACACTATCCTAATAGTCTCATGCATTGAGAATATGCTTTTCATTATGAGTAATGATGCACAAATAAAATTTTTATACAAAATTTGTATATATGATATGACTTTTTGTGATTTTTTTCATTTAAAATAAAAGACCCGATATGTTGGCACCCAGAAAAAATAACCACAAAAATTAACCAAAATACTGAATCAAGGGTCAAGATTCATACATATTATAGGCCCACAATAACTACTTTAATTTGCACCTTTGATCTATGATTATGGCTAATTATCTGTGTTACTTTTCTGACATCTTAGACCTTTGGTATTTTGACTCGTAATTTAAAAAATATCATTATCACATCATTTTAAATGAGTTTATATATTGTACGGGGAGCAAATATTTCGTTAAGCCCGTACTCCTTTCTTCCGAGCTCCGTTTTTGTCCGATCACCTGCGAGCAAATAACGGTGAGCTACCCGGCGATGTGTGGTCGGAAAAACCCTCCGACGATCAAGTTAGCACACACCTTAGGATAGAGAGAGAGAGAGGGAGGAGTGTTTGAATGTAAGAATTTCCTTACAAAGTGTTCGTCTGTCCCTGTATGGGGGGCGCAGACATGCTTATATACCCTCTGCGCCCCATATCCACTCCCAGTCATCTCTTGACACGTGGCTCCGCTATCCCAACTGTCAGCTTAAACCTTGCTGAACATCACCTAATCTCAACTGCCTGTCTTCTCAGCTGGAGCTCGGCAGCCGAGCTTCTCTATCCACGGCCGTGTTGTGCTTCATACCCAAGCACTTCACTGGCTTAGCCCAAGGAGGACCGGGCTAGGTGGCATCTCGGCAAAGCCTAGGCCGGGGCACCTCCTGTGGTCGGCCTTCCTGCCGATCAGACGATTACCTCGGCTGACCATGCCTTTCCGGGCGCCGGTCACTCAGCTTAACTGGCTCCACCATCGCCTGATCAAGCAGCTCGGTCCAATCGAGCACTGCCTTGCCGAGCAGCTTCTTTCCAAACTGGGCCACACATACTTGGCCCAACTCCTGCCCGGTCCAAATCAGTCCGGCGAAACCCTGTCCGGCCTAGATCTGTCCGGCCTAGTACCAGATCATTAATCTCCCTCTCAATTGCCCCTTAATTCCGTCCGCGCGAGCGTGACTGGGATTACCTATACTTCAACTGGGATAACATTTCTTCGGTCTTCAAAATGTCAAAGGGGGACCGGGCTAGTTAACATTACTGTCTGCAAACTTGTCCGGTTATACTCCTCGGCCGACGTCCTCTTCTTTGAAAGTAGCCCGGTTGGCTCTTCGACTCTTCAACCTGTCTCTTCAGTTCTGACGTCGCCATAACTGGGGACACGTGGCGGGCTGCCATTGGTTCTCGAGCAGCCAACCCGCCGTTTTGCCAGAATTTGAATTTGGGCGGTCTCTTTTGTCTATACATATGCCCCTGCCCTTGTCCTTCTGTTCTTACTGCCTCTCTTGCCTATCAAGCTTCACAGAGCTCCCGCCCCTTGTTCCTTGCCAACGCCGATTTTGTGCTTGAAGGAGAGGACCCTGCCCTACGCTCGTAAGTCCTCAAACTTCTCATTTTGTTGTCTTTTTCTTTGATATTTCACACATTAGGGCATGAAATCGTAGCTTTTAGGCCTTGGGCTCCTAAAACCATCCCAAACCCTCCATTGTTAACGGTGTTCTTCATTTTTCCTGAAGAACACTGAAGAACTGGGGCGGACCGGGCTCCTGGTCTTCATTTGATCCAAAAAACCAATCTAACCGAGCAAATAACATGTTTGTCTCAATCCTAGCAAAACCGAGATAGCAAAAGGAATTGGTCGCTCAACCGGGCTAACATCTGGTTCGCTTGGGCGACCGAGCTCCTTAGTTAGCTTAGGAAACCGAGGTGGTTTGGCACTCTTCATGACCGAGCTAAAAAAAAGCTCATTTTGCGCGACTGCGCTCACACTTACACTTGCCATCCTTTTTCTGCAGAGTCCAAGGGGACCATTGTCCATTCCTCAGGCTCTCAAGACCGAGCAATTACCAATTGCCACTGTGCCAAACACTTTAGCCAAGCTACCTTAGTCCGGCCACAAATGGGGAAATTCCGCTTCCTAGTGGATACTCCGGCCGCGCTAGCTGCATTTAGAGAGGAGTACGGCATCCCGGCCGACGTCCATCTCGAACTGGCTGAAGAGGAGACAACACCCTGGGGCAGACTAGACCAATACCCCTTCACCGTGTTGTCAATTGTCGAAGGAGGCCTCCGTTTCCCACTAAACCCACTTATCACCGAGTTCTTCCGCCGCACCGGGCTGGCACCCACACAAGTGTCCACCAACATTTATCGAATTATCAACGGCGTTCATGAACTGAACAATCGGCTAGGCACCAACTTAGGTCTAGCTGAGATATTGAGGCAATACACGATGGGTCACACCGGTGACGACCTAGCCTATTACTTGAAAATCAGACCGGGCAAGGAGAAAATTGTAACCGGCACCCCGGATAAAGATTTGCACGACGACGATTTTTTCTGGGTGTCGGGCAATTACGAAACAGCCGACGTATCGGGCTGGTTTATAAGCAAGAACTTCGGTTCCTCATATAAGCCGCTCAAACTTGCTCAGTCAGCTTACCTCTTTATTCTGTAATTAACCGGTTTTCCTGTTTATTTTGCAGCAATCCAAGCCTTGCAAGCCAACTATCAATTTCCCAACGTAGAGGCAATTCGGACCGTGCTTCGATATTCCCACCGAGATTGCAACGATTTGCTCGGTTACACCTCGACCTACAGGTACCCTGCTCCGCGCCGGAGTAGAGTAACATACTTCCTCCGTGCTCCTTTGCCACCTCCAGACCCTACCCTTCCTGACGTCCCCTTAATCCGGTTGACAGACGAACAAGAAATGGCCAAAAGAAGCCGAATCAAAAACCTTCTCACTGCAACCTCGGCCGAGATACCGAGCGTTGTCGCCCGCTCCCCGGCTGCCGGTCAATCAATCGCCGCCGTGGTCGCCTTAGCTTCTCTAGCCGCCGGGCAGTCTAGCCAAGAAACACGCCGGGCTGGCAAAAGACCACGGGCAGATCCCTCTGCCGAGCTCATCGCCGAACTGACAACCGAGCAACCTGCCGACAGGGTCAGCTCCATCTCAGCATGGCGGTCGCAGCTGAAGCACCGGGGCAAAGAGATCCTGGCAGATGCTTCGGTCAAAGGCGACAAGGAGCACTTGCTTGCCTTCAACCTCTCAAAGGCTCTGCTACTGCCCAGCGACGTGGTTGGAAGCGACCGCGTTCCTGACACCCGGCTGGTCAAATCCGCCGTGAAGTCCATGACCAGGGTAAGAAGTTCAATCTTTTGCTTCAATTTTCGTAAGTGTTTGCCCGGTTTCTTCTCTGATCAAATTCTCATTTTGCAGGCCATCCAAAAGCAGCACTTGGTCATGGAGCGCATCCACAGACTTCGGCAGAAGGCGAGTGATACCTCCAGCCAAGTCGAAAGCCTCCAAACCGAGCTTGGCCGAGCAAGGTCATCGGTCGAAGCCGCCAATTCCAACAACAACCGGTTGCTCAGCCAACTTGAAGCAGCCGAGAAAGAGAAAGACGGGCTCCGGGCCGAGCTCGACGAGCTTAAGAAGTCCAGGAAAAAAGACTGCGAGGATTCCAATAACGCCGGCTTCAACGAAGCCGAGGAAAACTACAAGAAACAAGTCTTTGCCACCCAGGACATTTACTTCAAGGCTGGATGGAAGGCTGCCTGTCAACAGCTCGGTCAGGGTCCTTACACTGATGTGTTTTCCTCTCCATCGGCTGTCTTCTTACCGACCTACCTCATTCCCTATGCCAATGACACCTTCAGCGCGCTGCAAGCTGAGGCCGAGGAAGGACTTGAAGAAGAGGGTGAGGCAGACGCTGAAAGAGAGGATCAAACCGAACAGGAGCAGGACGGCCAGACTGGGACCGGTGTCCAGGAGCCAACTGCCACGGTCAACCTGGAGGCTGATGAGGAGTTCCCTGATCTCTCCCCCCTAGCTTAGGTTTCTCTTCTTTTTGTATGTTTGCTTTCTGCGTTGCTGATGTAACCGGGCTCTGTCCCCACCTTTTGTATTGACTTTCTATCAATGAAAAACT